TTAAGTTTTATCGATCGGTACCACAAATATATCAAAAATATATATCAAAAATATCTCTTAAATCTATTTATTTGAAACCAATTTCAAAATGTAAACGAAATAAGTGAATCACTAGAAATGTTGTAAATTCAATGAAATACACATTAATCCGAGATTTTGATTTTATTTTGATTTAGTTTGCAATTTAATAAATGGAAATTTTATTTCCCATATGAATTATTTTAGATATCCTACATGTTTTTAATCATTTATTATATGGTATTTACATTATGTGGTAATATTTATTTCTTTAAATATAATATAAATCCAAATGTTACACAATTACAAAATATATTCTTAACTTTAAATTTAGTTTATTTTAATCATAAAATTAATTCTAATGGTAGATATTATAATATAACTATTATAGTTTGAGTAAATTATACATAATAATTAAATTATTGTTTCTAACATAAACTATATTGTTGTGTAAGAATGAATATAAATTGTTAAAATATAATGAAATTAATATAAAACATATTCACAATTTATTTTATAATTTAGCTAAAATTCAAATGATTTAATAAATTGATATTTATTTTAATATTTTTAGGACATCGACTAATTGATTATAAAATTATGCAAAATCGCAAAAATTAAAATAACTTATTTTGATTTTTTTCTTTATTTAAATTATTTATATATTTCATATTAAAACTAAATATGAATCCTTATAACATTTAAATCAAAAAATATGAATATATACTGTAAATTAGTAAAAATAAAATAAAATACAAATGTTTATAAATTATAATCTATTTACTTAATATTAATTTTATGCATTTACATAAAAATGCTTATTTGAAAAAATAAATTTTATGGTCATAATGTCACATAAAGTAATTTACAGTATTTATAAGTCATGTAATAAAAATGGTGAATAATAATAGTTAGATAATAATTAAATTGTTTTCATTATATAGTAATTAAAATTAGATAATACTGATGTTGTTAAGTTAATGTTTTTATTTTAAAGATATTATATATTCAAATAAATGGAGTACATAAATTTATTTAAATTAATATTATTTAAATTAAAATACTTTAATATCATAGTATCTAAAAATCACTTCATTAATTTCTGTAATTATTATTCAAAACATTTAAACACATTTTGTAAGACACTATACAAGACTAAAACTTTGTAGAAAATACTAAAATATTTTAATTTAACTTATTTTTGAAATAATATAATTTGAAAAATCTTTTTTGTTTTATTAAAGAAAAAGTATTATTTAGAAGTACACTAAAATGTAAAATTACATGTTTTGCTTATATAATAACACAATAGAGCTTATAATCTAATATTGAACTAACTTATAAATACATATAATAAGTATTACTTTTTATATCTTTTTAAAAAATACAAAATAACAAAAATTACATACAACTTGTGTTTCTAAATATTATATATTATAGAAAACCGATTGCGTATAAATTGCATACACTAAGTGTTAGTTTTATTGAAATTATTAAAAAAGTTTTAACATTTTTAACAGCAATAAATTTTAAGCATTGTATATGATTTTTATCTAAGTTAGAGTAGATATGTATATTTATACAGTATACTCTAGAAAGAAAGAAAGAAAGAAAGAGAGAGAGAGAGAGAGATAATATGCAAATTTGTATTGTCGTAAAAGCCAGTACTGATCTTAATGTGCACTTTAGATAAAAGTATTGTTATGTTAGCCCTTATTTAATCTTAAACATCAATTCAATACAACCCCTAGTAATACATGAACCACTTTTGTATTAAAGCATTGTCTATTGTAGATACCATTGCAATATTGTAGTAAATACAGTACAGTATATATATTAAATAAATTTATGCCATTTATTTAAGCACTTATATGCCATTACAGTATATGTTAATAATAACTACTATATATTAAGGGCTACTTTTTAAATTTATCCATGTACTGCACTAAAATAACACAATTATTAATGTTAATTAAATACAATATCAATGGTACAGTATATTTGGTTTAAATAAATAGACCAATATATTTAAAAGCTATATGAGATTGTGTAATTTAGTACAAAATTGGTCAATTAAAACTAATTTAACTATATTTATTAAATTGATCCAAGGGCACAATATTATAATCAATTTAAATCAAGTTTACAAAAAAACTTTAATCAAATTAAATAATGATATATTACATAACTTAGATTTTAATGAAATTTAAGTCTATTGCAATGTTTTATACTACTTTTATATTGTATAATAGAGAAAGTTGAATGTATATGAAAATGTTTTGATTGATTAGTTTATATTTTTACACAACTGTTTGAGTAGTGGTCATAACAGCTGTGGTCACACACAAGACATAATATTTTATTAATGGTTATAAATCTCTTATAAACTATTTTCTTGTATTTTTCACTACTTTTCAAATCATACGTTCAAACTATTCACGTAACTAATCGTCTAATTCAGTAATAAAATAAGTCTTAAATAAAAGCATATGTAAAACAAATGTTTATTATTTTGTTTTAAACACAAAACATGCGATTCTGTATCTCATTAAGAGATTGTCGATGTCTGGGTAGACATCCATACATATAAACAAGTGGACAAACTAAAGATACATCCAATTAATTTGGATTACCATTCAAAGAAAGCATAAGATATTATACATCAATAAAAAGCAAATACAATGGCATTACAAGTATTGTAACAAAAATAATATATGTCTCGTATTTGTTAAGTTTTTTATGTGAATCGGTGCTAAATAGCCCTAAACAATGGTTATAGACATTAGTCTTAAATGACATCTTATTAGGTGTTATTTGATGTCATTTTACAAACGGATGCCATTAGCTGTTATTGTCAGCAATGGTCAGACAAACTGGTCCTTAATGTTGGACAGCATTTACAGTAACCAATAAAACTATTATACGATATATACACTATATTGAGCTATCAGTGCCCATCAGTGTTGCAATATATGAGATATCCGATAATCAATGTGTCAAACGTGTTGTACTTATGCCTTAATATTATTTTATGTGACTTATCGCACAAACATTACAGTTGACTACCGGTGCCCAACATTTCTACACCGAGTCAACTAAATTCATATTCATATCAATATCACATATAATTTACTACTATGTGATGGCTTAATAAATGCCATTCACTACCATATAAACTATATCAATGACATGACATTATTTTTAGCTTTTATTTGACCAAACATTACGATACATGTTATCGATAATAATATTATACTATAGTTTGAAATGGTATTCATATGTGTTGTCAACACTATATTATTGCTTTCATACAAATAAATGTCTTATAAATTACTAGTTATAATATCGACACTATTGCTAAATATCATCAAAATTACAGWTTTTAAATTTGTATGATAACAATAATACAGTACTATATTTATAGCACAAAAAATCTGAACATTAATATAGATGTCACACATAAAGCACTTGCAATTGATTTATTGAATCATTTAAAAGCAGTATTCAATGGAAAAGACACCAAATCTGTTACCATTGCTATTGAAAATACATTGCAAACCATTATTATTATTATTACAAACATTTATTACTCACTAATAATGTGTCAATCAATGTATTTATTTATTTTTACTTTTTTTCTAAAAGTTTATTCAATACTAAAATTGATGTGTTATTTGATATTAACATTTCTGTCATATTATAGAAACACAAATGTCTTTTCAATAATTAATATAAAAATTAATAAATAAAAATAAAAATAATAAAATTTATTAAAATATAATTGATCATGGGTAATTAAATAATTGGTTTATCAAAATGTATGTTTGGTTAAAGTGGTAGAGTATCTACTGATGCTTTTGATGAGCCCAGTGCTAGCACTGGTAGTGTTATAGAGTTATATGAAAACAATAATTACAATAATAAAAGTTTGTAAAAAACATTACAATTATTGGACAAAAAACTGTTGTTTTGTTGAAAGCAATGTCTATATCGTTGAGTAAACACAACAAACAATGTGTTCGACAGTTATGTCGATATGGTTTCAGACTTACAGACGACTTATAGTTCAATACATTCAATGCATTCACAGACAGTTTGACGACACATACAATACATTACAATACGATCTCTATATTAGACAACTAATTGAAAGCTATATTCAACTCACAGTCAAACACGGCTTTCAATTACATCATCGCGTAATCGAAAGCTTAAGCGAAATGCATGAGTAAAACGCAATTAAAGATAATTGTATTGAATTTGAATGCAATCGTAACACTGACTCACATTCAGACACAATTGAGACCAATATTTGTTGATTTAAATAAAACAATAGTTTGATTGCAATTATATTACAATTAATATAACTTTTATATAAAGTTCTTAAATAAAAAAGGGATTCGAGTGTAGAATCAAATTCATATTATTTTCTAATAATTTAATCATTTGATTGATTGATTGATTAATTAATTGAATGGTTTTGTGGTCAAAATCATTGCAATTGGTATCAATTGAGTGCAATGTGTCCACAATTGTGCCGTCAGTTCCGTCCGTCCCGTATATCGGAAAAACGGTTTTCCATGAGATTAGAGATCAATAGCGAGTGGGATAGCATTTGGCGTGAGATTTGGGTATCAATTATAACCATCACTTGACTAACTGATCATCACTTGACTAACTGATCATCACTTGACTAACTGATCATCACTTGACTAACTGATCATCACTTGACTAACTGATCATCACTTGACTAACTGATCATCACTTGACTAACTGATCATCACTTGACTAACTGATCATCACTTGACTAACTGATCATCACTTGACTAACTGATCATCACTTGACTAACTGATCATCACTTGACTAACTGATCATCACTTGACTAACTGATCATCACTTGACTAACTGTTTATTACTTGACTTCAACTTAAATCAATTGATAATTCATTAATCGATACGTTTATTGTTCACAATATTATAGCAATTGGTTCAGTCATCTCAAGCTATGACAACCTCATCATTGGCATCGTTGACATCATTGGCTCCGATCTCATCCATGTCGTCATATCATATGAATTATATAAATGGCACAACTGGTCCACCGGTTCCTTTGTCATCGATGGTTAATCACTCGCAACAATCGGCTACTATTAGTACAAACCAAACTAATTCATCAGTTGATACCATTATTAGTGGTTCATTAGGACAGACATCATTGGAACAGTCACTCAATGGCACTCATTTGAGATCACAATCTCAGCCATCAGTAGATATTATGAATCCATCGTGTGATTCACTGTTCAATAATAGTAAATCTGGTCTCATTGTCCAACATATCACCAGCAATGGTGTGGAACAGCAAACGGTAATTGAAACCAATATAACAATTATAATATCAAACGAGTTTATTATTTATTTATTTATTATTAAATTTAATAGTAAGCTATGACTGCATATCAGCTAAACTACATTTACGGCAATAAAATAATTTCAAATGAGATGTCATTTATTTAGAAACACGAGTTTTATATCAAGTATTAAATGAGTTTTATAGCATTGAACTACAATAAGTGTGATCTTATAAAACCATAAAATTTACTAATGCTTTTGAAAATTTTATATAATTATTATAATTAATGCTTACATTTGTATAAATTAATAGTTTGAGCAAAAACAGCGATAATGGGTTTTTATAAACACAATAAGTAAATTGAAATTAAAGAAAGTTTAGTTGTAAAAGACAATTAAATAAAATGGATAGCAATACAAATGTAGATTATTATAGACATTATATAATAGTCAGTAAAACTATAGGATTGTAAAGGAAATGATGAACACAGCGGTACTCTTGAGAATTGATGTAACGGTGAGTTTGACACTCACAAGTGGACAACCATTGTCTTTATCCATCAGTTTATCTAATATTAGATTTTATAAAATGAAGTGAAAGAGTGTAAAGATAATACATTTGTTGTCTCTTTGATAACTCTTGTATACTGTAGTACTGACTGAGTGACTCACTAACTGAGTGAACAGTATTTTATTGATATTTGTTTTTACTATTATTTTAGTTGTATTTCGAGCATTGATTTGATATCCCAAAGGTTGTTGTCTTTTACGACAAAAGTGAAAATTAAACCGTTGTTTGGTTTGAATGAATATAAAAGAAATGCTCGCAAAGCGTATAAATAACTATAGAGTATATATAACTTAGTCTACTGTATAATAGTCTAACCGTGAAATGAATGCATTCATTGATTAGTTTACTTTACTTTTTATAAAAAGCAATTTTAATTAAAAGTTGTATTGAAAAGCAAAGAATTTTAGTGATATTATAAATTGAATACAAGTTTTTCTATGTTTGAATTGACAGCAAACGGATATAGAGAGTGATAGGTCAGTGTCTGGAGAAGATAACTATTTGAATGGACAGTCGATAGACAATAACACTAACGTTAAGATAAATGGCATTCAACCCAAACGACTACACGTCAGTAATATTCCCTTTAGATTCAGAGATCCAGATCTGAGAACATTGTTTGGCGTATGTATTGAAACCAATTGTCATTATTCATAACTAACTCTTTATTATATCACTGTCCAGAGTTATGGCCATATATTGGACGTTGAGATCATATTTAATGAACGCGGATCTAAGGTATTGATCCATAAGTGTTATCTCTATTTTAATGAAAATGTAATTTCCTTTTATACAACAGGGCTTTGGATTCGTTACGTTTGCTAATTCAGATGATGCCGACAGAGCACGGGATGCACTCAATGGAACAGTAGTCGAGGGCAGAAAAATTGAGGTTTACATCAAATACTTTCATATGTTTAATGTTATAATCGATTGAAAAGCTAATCAAAAAAGCCTTCACTAAAGTCCAGCTTTCAATCAATAAGAATGCAATCAAAAGAATGGTTTTTTTTGGATAAGATTTTGTCATTTATTCACTTTCAGAGATCTTCTATTAATATATGATTAGTCGACTATAATTGACAAATAAATATAAAACACTTGATATAATACTTAAATCAATAGTTAGTCGACTTATAAACATAAGTTTTAATTATATTATATAATTAATATAGCTTTATAACTACCGTAATATGATAATAAATAGCTTATATTTGATTTATTTATATTGAAACACATAATATGTTAATTTATATGATACTGATCATTTTTTAATAAATACGTCTATAATATCGAAAGTATAAATATTGAAAATTGTCTAAACATTAAAACTACTAATAAAACATTTATTACATTTACTTCTTCAGCTAAGTTAATACAATATTCACAATATTAGTAAACAGCAAATATTTATTAAATTAATAGTTAATATACTAACATATAGACTGAATAGTCAATAAATGTATTGGTGTTATTAATTAAATTAATTGATAGACTATATGTCTCTTAAAACAGGTAAACAACGCGACGGCACGCATTCAACCGAAAAAGGCGGCGACTTTGATGACCACATCAGTGGCCAATGGTATGTCTCACTCTTATATTACTAATTGTTATCACATTCTGTTTAATTATTTTCCTGAAAACAGAAACATTTTCTGAATGCAACTATTTATCCATAAATTGTATTTGAATTGTGTTTAATATTTAATAACATTTGAATAATTTCAAGTTTATTAATTATTTTATAATTTAAAGCTAATTAATTTAATTATTACCGGTAATTATTTAGCACATAGTATTTATTTATTGATTTGTTTTAATTTAATTTAATTTATTTTATAACATTATTTAAGTACAATTGTATGAAATTAGCTGATATTAGAAATATTATTAATATTTTATAGATTAATTGAATTAATTGAATTAATAATTCGAATTATAAAATAAGATTTATTTTTTGTTATATAAACAAATTAATTTTATATTTATACAATCGACACTTATTATATTTCCATTATAATTATAATTTGTCATTTTATTTTAACATTAGAAATTTAATTTATTGAATTAATTTTAATTAACATTAACTATTCATGTTGATATTGTATTATTATAAAATTTGATTTATTAAAATTAATTTTATTAACATAAAAATTATTTTGTAGATATTTTGTGTGTATTATTATTATTATTATTATTATTATTATTATTATTATTATTATTATTAAATATGTTGTTGACATTTTTAAAACTTACATGTTTTCGATGAATTTTTAATAAAAAGTTTTTAAAAAATCTACTTTAAAAAATTATTACACGGCTTAATCCAATGCATTTGCAATGCATTTAAAAAAATTTATGAAATTACTAATAAAATATTTGCAATTTTAGTTTGATATAATTTATTTGATCAATGAATATTAGTCTAAATATTTGCATGACATATATATAAATATACAAAATCTCAATATTAAAAATTTTGCAATTTTTTAAAAATAAAAACATCAAAAAATTATTTTTATTTTAAAATGTGAGCATATATTTTGCAAATATACTGTATAATAGGTTTAGTAATGTTTTAATTTATCAATTATTCATTTGCCAAAACTTATGAATTTTATATTTTAAGCATACCGTATATAAATTTTATATAAATATATATATATTTAATAATATAAGAGCTTTAGTTACAACTTTGATACCACAAAAAACATTTGATTTTGCCATTACATCTGCCATAAAACATAACGTTTTGTTCGTAAATAAAACAAAATAATAGTTTTCAAATAAAAATTTCATGTAAAGATAAATGCAATATAATCAATGTTAAAACATATTCTACTATATCTAAAATTAATAATATAATTTTATTATTTAAAAAAAACTGTATTTAGGTATAGTTAATTTATTTTTCTATTATACGGTATAGATATATTTAAATACATAAAATATTTTTATACTAATAAATATTTATTAACAATTGTTGATATTAAATATAATTATATTTAATGTTTTTTATAAATTTAAAACTGTAATTAAAATTTGTAAATTACAACTTATGTTTAAAATTAAAACTTAATTGCAACCAAACATGTAATTTATTTGCTAACATAAAAATTAGTATTTTGATAAATTACTAAATTAAAAATAAATAAGTAATTAATTAAAGGAATGACTAAATTTGATGATCTATTGATTGCATGTTTTCTTTCATTTTGTTTTATTTCTGAACCATCTCTTTGGTCGCTCTTCTACTATCTGTCTCTCTCTCTCTCACTTTGTTTCTTATGGCATGCGGTGATGATCTGATCCATGTGTTGATCTGATCATATAAAACCGTATGATAGCAATGACCACAATGAGAGGGGCCATACAAAGAGGTCGCGCACGGAGTGGCACTTTGGCGGCATTTGCTGCAAGACATCCTTCACCACTACCAATAACTGCTACCCCGCATGTGTAAGTCATACGGCTAACAGTCCACACATTCATTGGACTGTATATATATATATATATATATTTGATCTTTTAATCACTATATATAAGATTGATTATATTTATATCATATAATTGATGTTTTCTAACATTTTTAATAATTGTTTAGTGTTTAAGCAATTTGTTGCATAAATTATCAGCAAATATAATACTAAATTTTGAGTGCATTTGAAACTATACTTTTGCATTAATTTATAAAAAATATATTTATATATACATTAAATATATATATATATAAATATAATATAAGCTGTTAAAATATTAAATATATTTTTGAATGATTTAATGAGATGTGTTTTAATGAGATATATTAAAACAAATATTTACACAATTAATGCAAAAAAAGTATTTCTAGCATAACATTAAAAACAAAGTTTTGCAAATAAATTTTTCAGTAAATTTTAATTAATTGCATGAATTTAAAGCTTAATCTAATAAATGCTAATCAAATATTTTTATAGATGTGAGGAATATATTATAGATTAAACAATAAAAATAATTGATTTTTAGATGAATAATATGAAATTAATATTTTCGAAATAACATACAATAGGAACGTATATCCGGACCATTTTCTAGCGTATACTACTGGAGCTGAAAGAGCTTATCCATTGACCGTAAGTATTGATTATTTTATTTTTTCCTTTATTTTTATGCAACAGTATATTATATTTTATGTAAAATTTTGTCATATAAAGTATTTTTACAAAAACATTATTTTCCCATTAATTTACTCTATTTTTAAATGTGTTTTTTATAAAAAAAAAGTATATCAATTTTAGTTTTATAATAAATAATATTAATAAAAATTCTATTCATTAAAACTTGTGTGTGAATAATAAATAACTTAAACTTATATAATATTATGAATAAATGAATTTTTATGTAGTTTTATGTACAGTATATAAGTTAGTATTACATAGTACACGATATTAGCAAAACAAGTGATTAATTAGACATAAAATTTATGTTAAAAAATAAGAGCATTTAAATAAATTGTCATTTTGTAGCAATTTATTTCTTAGATTCAAACACATGCCATTATAAAAGTGAAATTTTCCATTAAAATCATTATTTTTTGTACGACAGTTATGGTCTATTAAATATTTTTACTTTTTAAAAAAATTAAATTTGTAATTTAAAAAAAATTATTTAAATTATATTTACATATCTATATATTGAATTTCTACTATCAATAAGTTAAATTTTAGTGCTATGTTTACTGAACTATTTTTTAAATATAAAAATTAGATTATTTAGCCTATTGTACATTGAGTCTTAAATCTGAAATAATTTATTGATATTAGTTTGTCATAATATCACGTTTGTATTCAATTGTATTTTATGACTTATATTGTTAGACCTCATACGCTGCCAGTGCCGCATATACAGCAGCCGCTGCTCGAAGGTATGTATGGTTTTATCTATTCAATGCAGTAATCATAATATAAGTGTAATAAATGACTTTTGATCAATAGTTGTAAATGTATTGTATTATAAAATACTGTCCTAAAGTATTAATAATTTTTTATGGATAAGAGTTTTTATGAGATAATCTGTGTTCAAAATTTTGTTTGTTTGTTCAATACATAACAACCATAAGAATTTGTGAAGATATAAGTTTACCACTCAATTGCTATTATATTTATTTATAACCATTTAGTTGGCGACAATCAATTGTTGTAATTTAATAAATCAAAAAATACATAGAAATCTATTTCTGTTTTCTCTTATTTTTTTTTGCTCACTCACTCACTCACTCGCCCATCACTTACTTATTTGTTCACTTATAGTAATTGAGTTCACACTTAAACATAGGCGGCGGCTTTGATAGCCTCGATATTATTGATTTTAATTATCTGGTCGATCATACATTAGCTACAAAAGTGATTAAAGAGAAAATTATAGATAATATTAAGCTAAATAATATTGTTAATGATTTTTTTTGGATTAATTATATGGTTAAACATATAACTGCAATCGACTAACAATTGTCAATATTATTGAAAAGTCGGTGGCAATTATCTGACCAAATCATTTAATTTATTTAAAAAATGGTAAATTAAAGTATTATTTTGTTTGATATTATCTATAAATACTTTTATAACTTTTGTATCTAATGTATGACTTATTTGATAATATAAATAATATTGTATAGTTGTTAGCACTGCCGTCACTGCTATTTAAGACTCTGCCAGTAATTGTTTGCACTAACAATCAGAAGTTCTAAAAGTCTTATTCAATAAAAATCAATTTTTTGGACTTAACTGTTAGAAAAAATTGTGTCACTTTATTGTTGTATCCACTGATATATTGTATTACTGTATAGCTATGCATCTGCTGTGGCCGCCGCACAACCCGTGGCCGCCTATCCAACCATTGCCGGGTATATTGTTTAAAAAATATTTAGCTTTAATGCCCATAGCTTTAAAAACTGATTTTAATTTCTATTTATTAGTTATGGTCGAGAATATCCTGAAGCATATTTAGGACATACCATTGGACCCGTAACTGGATATGGGGTAAACGTTTTGCTATATTTAATACTATTTATGAAAAATATTAATTATTTATTTATAATTAAATTATAGGCCACGTTATATAGAGGTGCATATAACAGATTTGCTCCATACTAAATTACAATAAATCATCATTAATTTAATATAATTATATTAATTGACTCAAAAGAATTTTGTTTTAAATTAAATACTCAATTTTAATAATTTAATTTGTTAAAAAGTTATATATATTTAAAAATCATTTGATTATATTTATTATATTAATGTTAATTTTTTTATCTAATATTAATTTATTACTTCTAAGTAAATTATAAATTGAATGCTAATTAATGTATATAATAAATAATTTTATTTATAACAGTACTCTGTATTTAAAGTTTGCTATTATATAAAAATATTGAATTTTTATAATTAAGGAAAAATAATCAATTCTTATACGAAACCAAAGATAAAGACTAATATCATTTTTGTATAATTTATATTTTATCAAAAATACAATTTTTATTTACAAATTATATTAAATTTACTGTTTAAAATATTTAATTAATAATATGCTCATTTATTATACTTTTAAATAAGCTAATCCATTGTATAATAAATTATTTGTAAATAATAAGTTTGTTTTTTAATAAACATGTAGAAAATTATTTTTAAAAAATTATTTATTAAAATTTAAACTATTATTTTTAGTGAATCTATCTATATATAGTTATCAACTATCGTAAACTATTAGTGTAATATAACAATTTATATTCACATTTTAAAGGTATGATAATTTCTTTAAAATCTTATTTATTAATATTCTAGGGATTTCACAATAATTTGTTTAACAATTATTTAATATACTCATCACATTCAGTTAATTTAAGTAATGTATTAATTATTATATTTATTATAGTTGAAAAATATTTATTCGCAAATAATTTTTATAAAAATTTACATTTATTTATAATATTTTATTTAGAGAAATGATATTTAATACAATATAAAGTTTTTATTTCAAAATTTGCATTTTCTTCTATTTTATGAACATATGAACAAACTCTACGACATTGACCACAATCTGCGACATCGTTAATATATAATGTTTTTATAGATTATGGACGATATCGTAAAGTTTGCCAAATTAACCATAAAAATAAAATGGTAATTGAAATATATAAGTAAAACATTAAATTTATACGTAATTATATTGTTTTTATGTTAATATCCACAATAGAAGAGATTGTTAGTCATCCCTATCCGTAGTGTACCTACTGTTGAGTCCTCTCTCGTAAAAATAAAGTACAATATAATGTTATTTATAATTTTTAACAATAATACTATAATGTATTTACTTATCATTATTTTTTTAAATAAAAAAACATTAAATAATATAAAATCATCTTAATTTAGTAGATTTTTTCAAAAGCATATTGTTTTGTACTTAAATAATTAATAAATTAATATGATTATAAAATTTTATTTATTCATTTTACTGTATTTACATATTTATTCAAAAACATTTAAGATACAAATGTATTTAAAATACAATAATTATATATAATATTTAGATTATTTAAGAACAATATTTTTATTAATTTAAATATATTTAATTTTACAAAATCTCTAACAAATTACTTATAAAATCTTAAATTTTAAAGTACAATTTTACATCTATTTGAAATAGTTAAAAAATATAATTTAAACATATTTAAGGCATTTTATCACATTTAGCACGAAATTGTTATATTATATAAAATTAAATATAATAAAAACTAATGCCTTAAATTGTTTCGCACTTTGAATTTTTTAGGCAGTTTAAATTTAAGACTATCTCAAAATTAAATTGAATAATAAACCTAGGTTTAAATATAAATTACATAATAAATTATCACAATAATTACTATATAAAAGTTAATAATTTAAATATTTAATGGCTCACTATTTTACACTCATCAAATTGCCTATTATAATAGTTAACAAATATATTGATTAATTTATGTAAATTGAATAATTGAATGATTAGATGAGATAAAAGAAACAAATAAATAACCAATAATTTTATACAACAAATATTTATAATAATTAGCAATTAAATAATAATATTTCTAATTATTAATATATTTAATAATTAGAAATTATTTTTTTGTGATTGAGATGATTGGCACACTATTACACTAACATATAATAATTTATAGCAATATATTACAATGTAATTAATGATAAATAGTTTTAACCAAAATTTTCGTATTGATGTAAAAAATAGGGAAGTTTTCGTCTATTATTAGTTGTCTCACAGGCTTTGCTTATAGTCTTTGTTAGTGCCGATGGACCGCAACTAAAGACACCGACTTTACTGACCTATAGTTTTAATATATATAATATTATTTGTAATAAATAAAGTTAATAATAAAATCGTTAAATTTGAAAAATATACAAAATTTCAAACTAACGTATGAATGTTGCTTTTGGACAAACTTAAGAAAAGCATTCATATCTGGTCTCCCAAAATGATTGATAGCTTTAAGTCCAGTAAACATACTTCTGTTGGATATCCTTTGGAAGTGATTCTCACAAATGTACTAAAATTAAAGCAAATTATTATTTCATATTAAATAATAAAATTATAATACTTTTTAAGATAATAATCAATAGTATAATGATATCATTGGAACCGATACTCACTAACATAGTTGTTCTCAAATCAAACTTATGAAAGAATTGAGTGATAAATATGTGAACTTCTAATACTTGTGTCACGTCTTTTCGTTCAACGTCTCGCAATACATCAATAAACCATTCAAAGTGTCGATGCGATGGACAGATCCACAAGAAATAAACCTTTAATCAAAATCATATGAATTAAATTAATTCAAACACAAATTAAATCGCAAAATCTATTAATAAAATTAAATACCTTTTTACAGGCGACACCAGAGTATCTGTTAGTTGACGTACCAAATACAAGATCATTGAGTATAGAAGCATAAGGTGTAACACCAATACCTCCGCCAACCATAACAGCAATTTCATATTTATACCAGTCTTGATTGCCGCCACCAAACGGTCCCTCGAGTCTAATCTTAGGTAAGGGTCGCTCAACTTTATATTCAAAGTTATTGGGATCAAAGTAATTCCTAAGTTTCCAGGTCCAGGGTCCCTGTGCTTTGACGTGGACGGACAGGTAGTTCTCGTGAGGTGCTGAAGTCAATGTAAGCGAATGATATTCATTAGCTTTGAATGCCGTACAACTCAATCGGATCCATTGTCCGGAAAGGTATTTAAAGCTCGGCGGACGAGAAAACTTTACTTTTGTTACATCTTTTTATAGTGAAATAAAAAAAAATAAGCAAATAATATATAATTGTTTTATTAAAAATTACTAAATTATTTTGTTATTTACAAACCTGAAGGTAAAAGTTCAGTGTCGAGAACATCCAGTTCCATATATTTTGCCTGAAGACTAATAATTTTGTCGAAAGTAAATATTATGGCGGGAATCATAAAAAATATCCAAAATCTTGGTGTCTGTTTCAACAAAAAAAAAATAAAACTCAATGAAAACTTATATTATTGTATAAATAATATTAATAATTGATGTCATACTCCGGTAAGTTTGGCTAAACCATGAATTAAGCTAAAGATGTAAAGCCAGTAATAAAGACTATGTGTTATCCAGAAATAGCTGTAAGCCTTTTGGCGTATCTTTGGATGAGCGAAGATAAATATCACACAAACAATAGTGTAGAGAACTACTCCCGACAATCCCGTAACGGTTCCAAAGATCCAGAAAGAAAAGGTCGGTTTGGAGTCGGAATCAAAGTTCAATTCCTTTGTCAAACACCGCAAGTGTTCGACCGGTTGGGTCGACACGTGATAAAAGTTAATGCAGTGACCAATCGTGTGAATCACTAGTTTTATTTAAAATTAAGTTAAATTACCATAAATTAAAAGATATAAAACTATAATACCTGTAAAAAATAGTGCAGTCATGGCTACAATCTTGTGAAACTGGACGTGACTATCAAGTGGTATGTATTGATGTAATGGTATTTCACGGATTTTGGTGATCAGATTGCGACACATTGTTAGCAATAACAATGAGTAACAAAATGATAGAGAAGCGGCTGATCCACGAGTAATAGCAATACCGTAACCCATGACATGTCTCAGATCCATGTGTTCACTCAGATATGTATAACTTAGAAAACGCTCAAAGAATAGGACATTAGTTATTACAAAAAATATAAATAAATAGACGATATGTTGTCGATATTCTTCGAGATAAGTGATCCAATAGTTCCATTTGCGTATAATATAATAAGGTTCGGGATCTGGCAAATGGTTGATCTGAAAACTAGTCATTCGTGCGATATTTGTTGAAGTATCCAAAAAGTTTTGTTTGGCTCCCTTACAGTCCAATCCAATGGCAATGAAGTCTCCGCGATATTCTTTCATCATTAGCTTGAAGTCATCGTAAGTGAGCTCTTCTTTATTTTCGAGACCTGTGGCCGCAAACATCTCTTGAATAAGATTCATGACCTCATCCTCTGCCATGGAATCAGTTTTGGCGATATCGACGAGTGATCTCAACATTTTGGTTAGTTCTGTCTTATCGATGACACCATTGCCATCATTATCGCACATATCGAATATGATTCGAAGTTTGTCTTCAGTCTTGCCTCTGGAGAATAGGACGACTGTATCCAAGAATTCTTGAAAACTGATTCTTCCGTCTTTATCTTTGTCCACACAATTGAACATTTGTTTAACAAAAAGTGAGTCTTGTTTCATACCGAGTGCTTCAGCAAACTCTTTCTTTGATAGTGATGTCCTCATAACCATAATCACATCATTACTAACGTCTTCCAGTTTTCGTTTCTCTCCAGGTTTTAGACCAAAAGTCAAGGCATAGGCCTCTCTAAAGAAGTGCTCCAAACGTTTCTGACGTTTTTCTTTGGTTTCTGCATTGGCCAGCATTACGTCTTTATAGGTATGAATTATTTCCAGAGTTTTCTTATAATTTAATAAAAATGCCTCCAATTTGGCTAAAAATTTCTTTCGCGAACCAATGTTATCAAACTGTAAGACTAGATCGTGATCTCGAGCCGAACGGATTAAAACCATTGGTTTGTGTGAATCTTGAGTTACTTCAACCATAAGAGAGTTGGCGTTTTTGAAGTTAATATTTCGCAAAATCTCTCCCTTTCTGTTGATGGTTGAAATGGTCTCTTCGGGTCCGATCTTAACCTTTACATATCTTTTGTGGTTTTGATGCAACCATTCCCTGACATCTAAGAAATATCAACAAAATTAATATATATATAAATTAAAACATTTAATTATAATATAATTACAGAGTTTGTCATAATTTTTATTATTAGTGTTCTCTTGTTTTGCTTTTAATTTTCTTCTTCTTCTATTCTGAAGTTTGATTACTCCGTAACCAAATATTGCGACAACTATTGAATATATATATATTTTTAATTAATTAAAATTATATGCTTTTTATAAGATATTGAATACCCATTGGAATAAATGCAAGAAGTAGTAAAACAAGAATATATGGCAATTCTGAGCCATGAAAGTAGTTCCAACCGGCGAGAATCAGACACGGCTCTAACATTTTGCTCGTTAACTGTATGGGTTGAGGACAGGGATCATTGTCTCGAAAAAGAAATACATTCCGTTGTATGGCATCTGTAGGAATGGCAGTCGAGTTGACCAGAATGTCATACAATCGAATTTTGCGAATCTCTTGGATCTCTTCCAAAGTAAAGATTCCGTTCTGTGTGTTCTCAAACCAAAACCTGTCGGCGTCTCGAATACGAAAGAATTGTTCTTTAATGACAGCTCTGAACAGTTCTCCCGGACGACCCGTTTGGAAATCAGACTCAACCATTCCTCCCACATAAGTGTCCACATTATCTAAATCATTGTTATATAGTTTTGCCAACTGATCAATAATTTCTGGTTTTCGGGCGTATAATTCAGGATTAATTTGAGTCCAGTTTTTAAGTACTGGTAAATGGAAATATCGGCGAACAGTATTATAGTCGGCTAATCCATTATCTCTTCCTCTCATTATATTAAGTGCCGCTAAATCTCGTCGACTAAAATCCATGGGTCCAAACAATTTATCTGTATTTATAATAATCATATTTTGTTAATTGTATAAAACATTTGCATTATTCTAATTATTATTAAATTAATATCAAAATAATTCATTAATTTATATTTTTCATGTGTAATAGTAATTCATGTAATATTAAATTTGGTATTTATAATGTCTGCCGAGAAAATAAACAATTTAATAATATTTAAAAGTTTAATATAAAGTAATAATAATAAACATTATTTCAACACAGTTTCAGCCTTCAAAACGGCTCTTAAATCGCCTGAAGAGAGAAATGATTTAAATGACACACATTTGGGTACCAAATGAATCTCTCGTTGTTTTGAGATTTAGTACAAAATTAATATTATGCTTATATTTCAAACAGCTATATATGCACTTAATGTAATCAATTGGTAATAATTGAAATTATATGAATAATTATGAATAATTTAATCCCTGATTATTATATTAAAATCATTGGATTAATGAAAATAATTAAAAAATCATTTGTATTTGTGCTAAAAATCACGTTTATCTCGCAATTATATACTTTCACAAAATGATTTAACAAAAAAATTATATAAAAATTAAAAGGCTGTCAAATATTTAATCTAAAAAAATAAAACTCAACATTAAACTTAAAAGCGATAAAAATGTGAAAACAAAGAAAATAAATTATTGAATGGCAATGAAATGAATTTATAATTAGAGTCAGAATTAGTTTAGAAAAATATTTGAATATTATATAAATATATTATAAATAAAGGATTATATTTATGCCGTTTACTGCCAATTAATATATAAAATTATAAATATTTTTTGTTTTGTTCAATATTTAATATGAAACCCATTTATCAATTGTAGAAACAATTCTTAATTTTTTCATTTAATTTTCATTTTGTTTGTTTTTATCATTTGTTTTGTTCCCTTAATCTATTCAATCACATAATAGGTTTATGTCTGGCCTTATAAATATCTTATAAATTCACACATAAAATAAACCAAAAATTATCTGTTTGTTTGAGTTAAGAGTAACTATTAGTTTAAAGTTAACTAAGTATATATCAAAACACATTATAAATATTAGTAACAGAAATAATTTGAATAAAAATATTATTAACAATTTGCAATTGATTCAATCGATTATTAAGAAATCAAATAACATTAAGATAGTGTAAATGATATAAACTGTTATAAGCAATAATGTGTAAAACAAATTTATGAAACATTTTTGGAAAAAAGTAAAAAAAAGTAGTTGTATTGGAAAAATGGTATCACAGGTATAGACTTATTATGACCTGACCCTGACTTACATATATTTTACCAGAAAAACAAATTTCGCTAAAAGACATATTATAACAAACTTTTTATTGCATCGATTTATTTATTAGCTTTCAATCAATATCTAATAAACAAATATTTAATTTAATAATAATTTGCAATAAAGTCACAAAACTTGTTTATAAGAAATTTAATTAAATTTTTAAATCTAATTTTAAAAAAAATCTTAATATACTAAATATAATTTAACAAAATACTAAAATATAAAATAAAACTACATATATCATGTATATAATGTACAATAATATTTTAATGATCTATAAAAACAATAATTTTTAATAATCGGTAATATATTAAAAGGAATCATATATTTAATGATTGCTAAAAATTGTGGACTCATATCATATATCAAAAATATTATAAGTATTGAATGCCGGAAAATCAAGGATTTTATGGACTATTAAAAGTAGAGATTAATGTAAATATATTGTATTATAATTAAGTTTAATATAATAATAAAAAATATGATTTAACTTTTCAAAGTCATGTCTCTAACAGACTAACAATAAAATATATAGAAATAGAAATAAATACATTGTTTTCTGTAATAAATGTTAAATAATCAGTAGAAAAGTACTTTTAAAATATATTGTTTAAATGTTAAAATATGTTGTTTTCAATAATAATATTACTTTTATATCTAAAATAATAAATGTCTTGTTATACTCGACATCATTTTAATAATACTTTATTTATTAAATTATAAAAATATTTAAATATTGTATTGAAAGAGAGAGAGAGAGAGAGAGAGAGAGAGAGAGAGAGAGAGAGAGAGAGAGAGTTCAAATTATATAGTATAATAATAAATAAATATAAGAGCTAAACAAAACAAAAAAATATTTGTATTTTTAATAGTAATAATATTAAAAACGGATTTCAAACAAATTTTAATAATTAAATAAAAAATTAAAATAAAAGTATTCAAAAACTGTTGGATTTAAAAGTTAATGGAAACTGAAATAACAAATCATTATTGAAAGAGAAAACATACATTAAATTATTATTATTATTATTATTATTATTATTATTATTATTATTTTATTATTTAGTATTCTTTTATTTTGTTGATGAGATGACTACAAAAAAGCGCACAAAATTGTTGAGAAAATGAAAAATGTTTGGATGACCTAAATTCACATTCAAATGATTTTATATGTTGTAGTTTTATGTTATATAAAATTCCAGATAAATACATGACTGTTATGTAATATATTTATTATTAATATACAGTATTATGTTTCTATCAATTTTTTTAAAATGAAAAACTTGTATTTTATATAAATTGAGAAGTTTTTTTTGACAAATATTGAATGCTATTAGAGACTAAAAATTGATTTTAAATAGTTTTTTGTTTTTTTCCTTGTTTTATATTTGTATTATACTTATATAATAATTTTAAATAATTTTTTATTATTTATTCATTCATTCATACAAACACTAGTTTATCATTTAAATTAAGCAAAAAATTTTTGTTAAGCAATAATAGAAACGCATTAAACATTTTTGTGAAATGAATATAATTTGAGTGTTGTCTTTAAGATCAATGTTAATTAAATAGGAAAAAACGTCAATTTTCGCACATATAATATGGTAATGTTTAAAATTACATATGAATTATTACAATATGAACAGAAAATCATTTTAAATGTCAAGAGTATAGATGTGTAGGAGTTTTATTAGGGCTGTGCTTATATTTATATTTTAGTCTATACTCTCTATGATATTTAAGACAGTTTTAAAAAATTTTATTTTATTATATAATTTTATTGAAAAGTAAAATCAATGACCAAAATCTTTGATCTGACTTTGGATCTGAGGTTTAGAAAAAAAACATTTAAAATATAACAAACAGTTTTGAATATATAATAAAGTTTTGAAATATTTGTTGGCAAATATGCAAATTATTTACATAACATTTTACGGACGGACTGAATGGCACGTAATATCATGAGTCGACTCTTTGGTCACAATATGTTTTATATAAGATATAAATTTATCATTTATTTGTATAGAAAAGTGGAACAAAATTGCAACAAAAACTTATATAAAAAATGGTTATTGATTTCGTATAATATAGTATTATTTGCAAAAAATGTTTCAAATAAATATCTCGTAAAATGAGAGCCCTATTTACAAATCAAGTTAATTGTGTTTTATATACACCAATACATATGAATGACAATAAACTATTTAATAATTAGCAAAATTTAATACTCATATAAAAATATTTATAAAACATGAATAAAATAAATTAATGTATAGTATATATACAGTAATACATATTGTATATGAAATATTGAATTATAAATGACAGACAAACCTCTGACATCTGAACAGAGAACTGAGTCCTCCCTCTCAGCGATTTGTGACGACAATCCCATCAATAGTTCCTCAACTCCTATGTCGGGCACTATTTCCTATTTAATTGACAATTCATTCAAACAAACATTTATTTAACTATTCACTCACAATAAATTAATTGACAAAAGTGATTAATTAATAAATTATTTTTAAATTTACAAAACATTATTTAATAAAACTAATAAAAAATTTAAAAAACAGAAAAATAATATTTCAGAAAAAATAAAATATGCAGCTTATAATTAAGTATTGTTTAATAACAAATATATAAAAATAAATAAATAATAAATTGATGGTCAAACCTCAGCGTCCCACCAGGTTGAACACAAACGTATACCCGGATAACCAGATGATGTCTTCCGGAAATTGCATTTTGCATCTCTTTTTAACATTTATTTTAAAGTGTTATTTAAAATTTTAATACTAATAGTTTCAATAATTTTAAATGAGTTCATAGACACGGGTAATACCTTTTGTAAAGTCCGGGTGGTATCATAGTATGGCCAAAGCGAAAGGCCGCTGACTGGAACACATGACTAATACCGGGGTGAATGTCTGGCTTAAAACCACTGTAGGGTGGCGTGGGCTCAGCAAACAGCACCGGCAGGTATTCATACATAACAATGTTCTGTAATAAAATAATCAAAGTTTGCTAGTATTATAATTCAAATTTATAATATAATAATAACAATATTTATTAAAGTATTATAACTTATAATTATATTACTTAATAAATTATAAAATATTAAACTTAATGATCTGCACCTGTAGACTAGCAATAACTAAGCGACGAGCTCTTTGAAATACGTCCTCATCGGACCACTCCGGGTGTTCGGCCTGAACTCGTTCGGCCAACACGTTATGCCATCGAAAAAACAATATACCAAAAGCTAACAGTGCAGGATTTTGGTTGGTTCGTGGATCACCCAATACTAAATTAAATAAATTTTAAATAACTTAAATTATAATACAAATAATAATAAAATTGAATCAATCATTTGAAAAAGCATACAAAACATGCGCTCCGGTGTAACCATCCTTAGATGGTGTGCCGGAGGAGAGTTGATAAGCGGTACGCGCTCTCGATTTCGGGGCGGAAACAGTCCGGTTTCGTCCGTCTTAAACGACCCGTTCTTGAATGTCCTCATAGTGTTGAGCCACGTCTCGGTCGTGCTATAGATAAATGACCCGTCAATCCAACTCGTGGCCATATTTAACTATTCATTTGTTTATTATATATACAAACAATTAATTTTTATATAAATGCTTTGTTTATTTTTATTTGATGACATTTAATAATAACATAGCATATTAAGCATATTTAGTAATAAATTGCATAATTGTTTTTATTGCAAAATATTTAATATTTATAAATCAAACTTTATTTGCCATTATAATATATATAGCCACCAATTAATTGATGCATTCAATAATTTTACGGTATTAGTGTATGTTTATATTTTATTTTTAAAAAATTTAAGGTAAAGAATTTTGAGGTTGAGTTAAACGATTGAATTATAAAATAAATAAATTCAACGATCGCTTATGAAATAGTAGTCAAAACATGAATTAAGTTTTATTAATGTAATAATATTTAATTTTTTAAAAATAAAAGAAAAATTAAATTCAATAAATCGCGACATGTGTTTAGTGTGATGTAAGTCAAGGACAGGTAATTTAAAATTTATGTAAAGAATAACTCAAAAAGTATGCTTTAATACACTAATAATTCAAGTAATATAATATATAAGGAGAAATACCGGGTATTTTTGAGGCATTCATCTCTCTAATTGATTCAATACTAAGAAATACAATGTATTTCGTGAATTTTGAAATACAAAAGTTTACTAATAAATATCACAATTATTATCAGTCTGACTATCCTAACTCTATTACTCCCTTTCCCCTATTCTACCTGTCCCATCATTATGTTATGCTCTACGGATTTACATTTAAATGTCTAAATATGAATACAATTGATCTTAAATTTGTCGAAAATGTTTTGGTTAGTAAAATGTCTGAAATTTGTGTAAAATTTTGCCTTTAAAACAAATCTGATGTATAAATACAGTATGGCTTATATTGTATTCATATAATATAATACTAATACATATATAGTATATACAATATAAATTTATATATGATATATAATATAACGTTTTCTATTGAGCCGTTGAAATGTTAATAATAATAATTGAAAAACTGCCCCAAGAAATGGGTCAACACTTAAGTGAATATAACAACTGTTTGTATTATAAGTGAATTTAGAAGTTGTATTATATTAGGAAAAGTTGTCTGCAATCAAAACTACAATTAATATTAGGATTCAGTTTTCACTATATTTACAATTTATTTTTCTTTATATGCAAAATATTTTTTACTTTTACTTTTTATCTTTCATTCACTTTCAGATTATATATTCTCATAAGTCATATATATATATATATAATACATTATTAAGTAACGTACTTATATCTATCTTAGCGATAAAAGTCATTATATTTAGGAAGCATATTAAAAATATAGCTATTAATTGAACATAATTTACAAATTAATCTTTTAAAAATTACATGTAAGTCTTTCAAAAAACTTTAATAATAGAAATTAATTAGTTATATATATATAAATTATAATTTTTAAATTTTGTAAGAGATATCGGGAAATGGATTGTGTGACACACTATTCATTAGATTAATTAATAAATTATAATAATAATAATAATATGTGTTTTATACATCGTTATAAGTATAACTTATTGGTTTAATGTTATGCTTTTAATGCATTAAATTTATAGCTTTTTAAAGCTATTTAGTATTAAACTGAATGTCAAATTTATAAAGCGTTGCGTCAATTAAAAGCTCAAAAATGTTTTGAGCCGTCAATCATAAAGTCGTGAAATACAATCAAATCCTTTTATTTTAATGCTGTAGTAATTCATTCAATTTAGATACTTAAACATTGTGTAAGAGAAAAAATTTAATTGATTAGCAATAATTTTATTTAATTCAATTGGAAAAATTAACTATAATTTTATAAAAATCAATAAAAGTTTTATTATATTTGTACACAAAATGAAAAACATTTGAGTATTTGATAATGAGTTACATGTATAGCATTGAATTGTCGTATAAATTAGTTATTTGAAATGTTTGGTTAAAACAGATCTCTTGAAAATATTATTATTATTTTTAATTTTTTTTTGATTAATGATCCTTAAATGACTTAAACAATGTTTCAAAATTTTTGTTATTATTTTTTTTATAAAAAGCGTTATTTTGAGATTTGAGAGATATATTGAGACACATATATAGTACACAAAAACAAAAGTATGGGCTGTGCTTTTCACTGAAAATAATTGTTATTTAAAAAATTAAACGATAAACATCTCTCTCTCTCTCTCTCTGTTTTTGTTGAAATGCTAATGAATTGAAAATAACAATAATATTGAAATCCTTGTGCTCTACAACACAGCCTTCGCTCATTTAAAACAAAAAACTAATAAAAATGATTTTTCTTTCATTTAAATCAATGGCATTCGCCTATATATAACATTAACTAACTTTTATTATAACATTAAATACTACTCTCTTTAGTATCTATTTATCAAACTTCTTAACGATGTAACTCTAAATTATATTTTTATATAAATAGATTTATAATATGTTTTAAGTATTTATAATAAATACATATAAGTGTTTGAGTAACGCCTCTAATATTGAAAAGTTATTGAAGCCTTTAATTAATTGATTAGACGTTGAAAACATAATTTATATTTTTAATAAAAATGAGATTGAAGATTATAATAAATATAAAATTTTTGTTTCACATATCAGGAAATAAAGCAAATGATAAAATAATGAAATCTCAATGATTTAATCAGTCATTGAATGGATAATAGAAAATATAAAGCGATTTTATCTTATGAAAGATTATACTCTTTATTTTGTTTGAGTGAAAGTGAATTATTAATATTTAGTATTAGAGCAGCAATAAAATCATTAAATTTAATAATTATTATGAAAAATAGGAAACATTATATTTTATAATATATTGATATACTTTAAGTATAAATTAAGTCTTAATATAAGGATTTTATTGTTTTTAAACTAAATTTTCTTAATAAATATAACGCTTTTCAATAAAAAAAAATTTTTGTGTAACTAATTAAAACAATTTATTAAATGTTTTGACATATTTTTATTAAACATTAGATTAGTTTTCATTATTTAATAGATATTTCATTATTTTTATAAATAGCTTACAACACAAAAGCATAGTTAATAAATGACAGAATACCTGTTCTCTTGGATGGTTAGGTGATTGTCCGGTTCTTGAGTCATAAATAGCTCTATGGAAAGGCATAGTACGCCCGCCCTTGCAGTCTCTGTCATACATTTCGTCACATTTCTCAATCTTAATCCTATGCATCTCAATAGGACAGCCCGGCTCTGATGCCATCAATATTTCAGATGACACCACTTGACCTGAAATATCAATATTTATCAATTGTATGACATTTCAATGTATGTATTAATATTGATGTCAAAAACTAATATATTAATATATATTTGGAGGTCATCATGTGATTTTATTAAATATAATTTAAACAAAAATAAATAATTATTACAAGTTAGTTATATTAAATTAAATTTGGAAAAATTAAAAAATTACTGCACTATTGTATTTATATTTTTGTTTTGTTTAAAGCCATTAATATTCAATGACATTTCTACTTAAATATATATAAATATAAATTATCAGATCTAGATATTAAAAATAATGTATTCAAAAATTTAAAAATAAATAAATATGTAATTTTATGGTTAGAAAAGTGTTATATTTATCACTATTGAACCTTGCAAATTGATAGTTGTAATCCCTGTCCATATGGTTGACTGATTTAAATAATAGGAAGTTATGTCACTTTTACTCCAATAGTGTACTGTATTTCTACTCAATTGGTAATTAACTGCTGATTACTATTAAAAATGTTAGGCCAAGGATTTGACTGTAAATTGATTTGTTTGTAGAGAAAGAGTCAAATAATTAACTACTGACTAATAATTACGAATAATGGCTTAAATAATAAAAACTTAAGGCTATCCATGAGTTTGTTTCTAATTTAATTAACATTTGTTTTGATAATTATTATGTTTACGTATAAAATATAATAACAGCAATAAAATCTTGAGACTCACCAAAAAAAGCAAAAAGTGTGGTCAGATTTCTGATGGATGGTTGTCCGTCATCGCCTTTCATAAGCGCCTGACTAAGCAATCGAGGACTCGGCCGGTTCTCACCGGCCATCATATATACACCGTCAGCATATGATGGCGGAGTCTTTCTTGTCAATTGACTTTCTGTAGTATTAAAACAAAATAAAATCAGTTTTAGTCATAATTAGATTATTAACTATAAAATATTGACAAATAATGTTTACAATTTAGAAATAAGCAAATATATAGTATAACTACAATTATAATATTAATATAATGACGGGTAAGTAATTCAATTGTATTTCTTTATATAAATAGGCAAATAAAGTGAAATTTTCTATCTATAGGATAATAAATTTGTTTTTTGTGTTTTCTCATAAAAAACTAACAAATTATAAACAAATTTATTTATGACTAATAAAATTAATTTAAACCGAAGTTACTTTTATTATATATCTTATATTTTATTAGTAAATTATGATTTAAAAATATGATGTTTTGCGCGACTAATTTAAATAATATATATATAAAAAAAATAATAATATAAGACTTACCAACAGATCCCCAGCCAGGATGTGCCAAATTGTTATACCAACCATCGTATCGTTGCATTTCTGCCATGAAATATGAATCAATTGAATTCAAGTGACCGGTCATCACATGAAATACATGACAGAAAACAACTAATGAGAAGATTATTCTTCCCATTTGTCGATGAGATTCATACGACAATAACAACTAATATAAAACACTGACTTCACTCAAAAAACTTGAAAACAGACTTATGTTGAAAACTGAAAGCAAAATAGAGAGAGAGGTATGGTTTGCCTGTTGTATGTCAGGTTAGTTGTGTTAGGACTGTGTGTTCACTACTATTCAACACACAAACAGAGCGTTTTAGTTCAGTCAGGTGTACAGGTGTATAGGTGTACAGGTATTTAATGTCATAATAAGCACCTCCTCTTTGCACTTGACTTCATAGTATAACACAAATAGCACACATTAAACACAAATAACACAAATATGAAGTTCATACTCTCTGGCACTGACTATAAATCAAACAAATAAGTAAAACAATTGATCAAAAATATCATCAAAAATATCATCAAAATTAAACTATTTTCAAAACCTATTCTCAAATATTTGGATTTATTTAAAAAATGTATAAATTAAAAAATATATATACATAAAGACATTAAAAGCTTGCCAATAGTTTTATAATAACCGTATTTAAAGTTTACATTTAATTTGTATGTTTATATTATTTGTCTGATGTATTATTAGAAAGATTTTAAATAAATATAATTAGCACACCATAGGGGTGTCAATTCCGGGCTGTGAATCTAGGTTTTAAAACTGTAAATATTTTAATAATATCAATATATAACTATTTGAATATTTCAAATGCAATTTATGTTATTTAAACAAACTTTGGTTTCTCTGACTTTAATCACGTTTAAGCTGTTTATCACAAAAAATATAAATATAAAATGTAATTACTTGTAGACAATATGTTTATTTGTAAAATAAAATGCTATTTATAATATTAAAAAATGATTATTGCAAAATTATTATTTTAAATAATTTTTCTAATTAATCAATCATTGAATACATGATATTACCGAAGGTCAGGGCTATTATCACACCACACCTTTGTCTCAAAATACTAGGGATAAACTGTTTTTATTATTTTATAATAACTAAATATTGCGAAATTATGAAAATAACTGATTATTGAGTGATTGACCATCGATGACAAAGAACCAGTTATCACATAATTCATGTGATATGACGACATGGATGAGATCGGAGCCATGATGCCAATGATGAGGTTGTCATAGCTTGAGATGACTGAACCAATTGCTATAATATTGTGAACAATAAACGTATCGATTAATGAATTGTCAATTGATTTAAGTTGAAGTCAAGTAATAAGCAGTTAGTCAAGTGATGATCAGTTAGTCAAATGATGGGTATAATTGATACCCAAATCTCACGCCAAATGCTATCCCACTCGCTATTGATCTCTAATCTCATGGAAAACCGTTTTTCCGATATACGGGACGGACGGAACTGACGGTACAATTGTGGACACAGTTCACTCAATTGATACCAATTGCTATCAATTGCAATGATTTTGACCACAAAACCATTCAATTAATTAATCAATCAATCAATTGATTAAATTATTAGAAAATAATATGAATTTGATTCTACACTCGAATCCCTTTTTTATTTAAGAACTTTATATAAAAGTTATATTAATTGTAATATAATTGCAATCAAACTATTGTTTTATTTAAATCAACAAATATTGGTCTCAATTGTGTCTGAATGTGAGTCAGTGTTACGATTGCATACAAATTCAATACAATTATCTTTAATTTCATTTAATACAAATATTAACAAACAATATTTTATGTGTCAAAGTATATTAAATTACTATCAATTTTAATAAATACTACAAATAAAATAAATTTATTTATTAAAATATATTTACTAATTTATTTAGTATCTTAGCTAATGTTTTATATAAAATTTAACAAATATAATAAAGTCAAAAATAACTTTTATTAATATTTCTAATATTATCTATACTACTGTATGTATAATCATAGATATAAGTAATGAATTGAATCTTGTATTATATAAAAACATAAAATATTGCTCTTAAAATAATTAAAAACATTTAATTTAAAAATCATTTACCGGTAATATTAAAAATGACAAAACACGTGTCAACTTACTGTAGTTTATAATTGAGATATTAAAATATTTTCAGCTAAAATAATGGTATCCTTATATCCTATAATTTTATTAATTAATGTTTATTTTTACAAAAATCCATATTTGATAATACAATATAATTATTTGACTCAATTCATTTTTTATTCAAAATAAGCCAAATTCAGAATCATTTTATAATGAAATACTTTTAATTTTATAAAAATGTATAATTTTTTAGCCAATTGTAAATCAAGACACACAAAAATAAATTATTCAATTATTAAATTTTAGAATTATTATATACAAATTAAACCATTTAAGAATATATATACTAAGTTTAGCATTGCCAGACAAAATCCTAAATACATTTTCAATTTTATTTAGATATAATTTCTAGGGTTATTAAAATTTTATAGAGAAAAGGGATAAATAGAAGAAACTTTAAGTGCGGTTATATTAGTGTTGGCAAAAAAGAGAAATTTATATAATTTTAGAGAAATTTCTAGAAAGTTTCTAAAAGAAATTTCTATTTATTGGATCCCCGTGGTTAATTTTGTTTTATCGATATTTTTTATCTGTAACATTGTTTTTACAAGTAATAATTAAATATTATTATTAGTATTTTAATTATTAATTAAAGTAAAAATTAATTTATTTAAATTATATTAAACTACTGTATGATACAATAAAATGGTGAATAAAATTTTACAAAACTGCTTATTATTAAATAATTATAATTATTTATATAGGTATCCAATTTGTACTGTATAATAGTAGTATACAGTATCTACATTATATAGTATAACATTATATGTATAGTATTATGTCTCATTAGTTTATTTATAGTAATACAATAGCTATAGATATGGGGATCCATAGTATAATAATAAAGTTAAATTTATATAGAAATTTATTCCTGAGAAATTTTCTAGAAACTTTCTCCGGGAAATTTGTTAGAAACTTTTTATTTGAACATCTCTAGGTAATATAACAGGAGATACTAAAACAAACAATTTTAAATATAATAATAATACACTTTTATTGAATTCATATATCATATAATTATTTTCTAAATTTTGTTCAATTGCTCCACATGTTTGCCGACAAATAAATTTAATTTCAAAGTTACTTCTATTCAAATCCTAAATCAAAAGTTAAAATTACTGAAAATTGGTGAAAATAACTGACTGACAGACTTAACAAATTCAGATATGATATGAAATCTTAGATTTTGTGATAAACAATATTATATTATTTGTTATAAATTTATTTCTATTTAAGACCAATAAAATGAATAGTCGTTATTATAATTTTCAATATAATTAAAAAATTAGTAATTAGTAAGTTATATATATTATACAAATTTAAATAAAATACCGAATTTATCTATTAAATCAAAACTTAAATAGAAATATTAAAAATTATATTATTATTATTATGTTTTTGATTTTTGTGAATAACCAAACTTAAAACATCATTCAGATATCATCATCACTATAAATATTCTTTATTTTTAAATAATACAATTATTGTGGATTTTCCGCAATTATAATTATAGTAAAATCTTTAATTTAAATAAAAAGATAGCATCGTACATTATTATCAAGATATTATCATGATCGTGTTTAGAAAATTTATTTCAAATTAATTATTAAATAACATTATGTATTTTTTTTGGCTAAAATACAAAATACTGTTATTTAATAATACTGTGTTTGTTTAATTTAAAATTTTTACTTTTTTATCATTTTTTAAAATGATAGTTATGAAAGATATTAGAAATAAAAGTTTCAATATTTTAATCATTTTAAAATGTAACTAACAATAATTGTGTGTATGTGTGTGTGTGTGTGTGTGTGTGTGTGCGTAAAAATTATCGCTTTAACTAATTGATTGATTGATTGTTATTTAAAAGCCCAAATAATCTGTTTTTATAAAGTATGAAATCATCTTTTTGTAAAAATTTTAGGATTTCACAGAATTTCTCATTAAAAACATATTAATTTTTTATATTTAAATCAATAGTAATTAAGTTAAAATATTTTTTTTAATTTAATATTAATTTAATTAAATAGTTTCAAATGAATTAATTTTTTTGCATTTCTCCATTTAAAGTAAAAGTATAAAATATACTAATAAATAGTTTTATCATTGAATCATTTGTTTCTCTGATTGTCGGAAATAAACAAAAAATTAATGCAAAAAATTATAATAATAATAAAACAAATAAAATATAATAACAGACTCGACCACAGTTTAATATATTGAGTGCTGTTATTTTGGACTTAATTATCAGTCAATTATAAACAATTTTCTAGTCATTACATTAATTAGTCTATTATTAAACTCAAGGTTCCGGTGCTGGGAATATCAATGCAAACAATATTATTGACGCAAATTAATATTTTCTTATGATTTGTGATTATTTTTTATATATATAATATTTCAATTTGTTAAATAAAGTTTACTAAATTTTAAAATACTAAAAATTTTAGTTTTTATTTATAATTTTTTATTAGTATGTAAACATTAATTAGAGGTAATCGCCCAAAAATTACTAATTATCCTTTTTTATTTTTTCAGATATTTTTATAGATTATTATTATTGTTGTTAATATTAGCTGCAAGTTATAAAAAACTTGAGGTATTCAACAATTGAACAAAACTAATATTATATGTTTAGTTTGAAATGTACACAGTATACGGGATATATATATAATTTATACAATAAATGATTAATAAATGTATGATATTTTTAGAAATCGTCTATCTCTATATCTCTAATTTGTTATTTTGTAATATTATTTTATAATATTTTAATGATTATATTTTATATAGATAAAAATAATTGTGTGCAAAGTATTGCTCTTAAATTAGTGAAAGTATATACAGTATTTGAATATAATATATATTTATGTGATGTAAATGTAATAACAATTGAAAATTTATGAAACAAAATAATAATAAATTTACAAATTGCTGACTTCATACTCTCTAGATATCCATTTTTTGGCATAATTTAAAACAGCTTTATTACTGTAAATATTTAGTAATATGTAATTATTTTTAAATATTTCAAATATGGTGTACTGTATAGATATCTATATGTTATTCAAGCAAAAAAAAAGTTAATTTCTCTGACTTGACTCACGTCTAAGTTGTTGAA